GTCAAAGTCAACATAAGAAGAAAGTGGGCTTTTGTGTGGTTTGTCTGAAGGAAAATAATGGGCCATTAGCTTAATTAGGTGAAGTACCAAAGTAGAGTTGTTGTGTAAGAGAGTTGCTTAATGTCTTGCTTAAAACTAGTCTAATATCTAGAGGTATGGACTAAGAGAAGTTGCCTTAAGCTAGAAGTGTGTAGTAAGTAGAGAAACTACTATAAAATGTTGTATGTGATGATGTAAAAATCATCTTGGAGATCCAATAACAAAATGTAGTCCCTAAAAATCTAACAAATCGGGATCATAGCGCGTTTTAAAGTGCTCATATGGCATTAAACACAACAATTTCTCTGATGTCGACAAGAATCTGGCTATGTTGTGCTTTAATTGCATATAATGCAAGAAGTTTGTGTTTACCAATGTGTGCTTGGATCAAATTAAGTGGATAATAATCAGTTAATTCTCTTATGTCGACAAGAATCTGGCTATGTTGTGCTTGAATTGCATATAGTGCAAGAATTTTATAGGTCCAGAATCTTAAGAATAATAGTTCATTCTTTAAGCTATTGTTTGTTGGGATTTAGTCTCTGCAAAGTTGTGCATTTGCTGCTCTATTGTGCGCGCCTAACGAAACCATGGATTCTTTGCTCGGTACGTCTCTTCGTGCTAAACCTCCTTATTTCTGTCAAAGAATAGAGTTTCGCTTCTATTTTTTAGTAAAATCTAGTTATTCGAACTTCAAAAAGTTTTTGACTCCTCAAATCATTGCTCGTTGCTCATTCACATTAGGGGAATTTGTTGTTTGGTACTAATAGAAAGTAAGAACAAGATTCTACATTTTAACATGTTTGTTTGCGTGACCAAAGCTGATTACTGATACCGCTAGTGAATTTTCTGAATATGAACAGCAAGGCAACCAAAGGTGGGCGGAGAGTCATAGCTCGGAGAGTAGCCAAAGGGCGCCACAGAGTCACAGCCTAGAATCTCTCTAATCTTTCCATGGACTTATCATCCTATGAGTCTCCGGTTATCGAATAGACCGGTTACGTCTCTCTTTGTGTCCGTCACTCTAGAAAAATCTGAAATTTCGATCTCATAAATAACTCGGATGTCTTCATATCCATGTTTTGATGTGTTGTTGATCTCAGAATCGAACTGAAGTTATTATAATTTTTAAAGATCTCAGCTTCTTTTCAATGGCTAGTTTATATCAAGAAATCCTTTTTTGTCTACATGTTGTTAGACAAATTGTCATTGTTTTAATAATGAAGCAAGAATTATTGGAGAAAAATTGTGTTTTTTTTCTGCCAAAGCATGGTAAATGATCTAAAGAGAATCTCATAGTTGACCAATGATATTTGTACATGAAACTTGCATTGAATTATGACAGTCCACATTTTGACCCCAC